AAGTTACTATCTATATATATATATATATATATATACATATATTTATAAAGAGGAAGTTCATTAGTACTACAATTTTAATCACAATGAGGACACGCGTTTACAGTTTTTTCCTGCAAATAGGCTCAAAATTGGTCTGCATCCAGAGGGGAGGGAGTGGAAAAGGGTAGGGTTAAGTTGTAGGAGGGAAGCAATACTATTTATCATGGATTACAATGAAAAGAAAAGGGAGAGCTGCCCATGCGATCTTCTTTTTTTTGAATCTGTTGATCGTATTTATGATTCACCACTTCTCGTTAATTTTATTTAGTCTTCTTTTCTTTGCACTTTCTTACGTTCAAAGGGGAAGTAATGTTATAGTGGCAAGGGCTAGCAGGCATTTTTCGTAATGATATCTTCCTTCCTTTCCCTCCCCCACCCCCCTCCCCTTGTCTTAGTAGTGTTAGTATTAGTAATCATACCTACTTCTAAGAACCGAAGAAAAAATTGGCAAAAAGGAATATTTTTTCTCACTCCGAAAACGACTATTAAACCATTTTCCATGCCCAAAAAAATGGGTAGAAGGAGACGATTGGAATATCTATCTTTGTTTGCCTTATTTTTCTTTACCGTGTTCTTACTTTGCTGTACTTAGATAATAGTGGCGGCGATTACCCCCTTTTTTTGTTGTTCCTGTGCTATTCTTCTTTTTTTTCTCCACTGGCTCTCTCCAATGATTGTCTCGTAACCTCTTAGGGTGGCGGGTCTGAGCAAATAAGCAGTGACAGTGTACCACCGTGCCCAGTGTCTTTGTCTGATTTTTTATTTACAGTCATACATTCACGGAGGCGAATTGTATTGACGGCATATAGTTATGAATGCATGTTTGGAGTCTGCAGTAATACTACTCTAGTCGTTGATCTTTGATCCTTTTTTTCATTATTATTATTATTACTTAATATCTACACGATTAGAATATACATCAAGTAGGAGGAGTAGGTGTCAGCATTTTCTTCTTGAATTTCGGACTATGGTGCGATCAAAGCCGAAAAAACAGAAGGGCGACGATGCATTTCAGAAGCGAACCCAAAAAGTTGGGCGCAAGAAGCTTGCTCCGGCCACGGCAACACGCGCGGAGGTTCACGCGCGGACGTTGCGAGTCGCCACTTCCGCGACTATTGGGCGTGCAACTGCCAGCATCGGCACGGGTGACACCCCGTCTTCCCTCCACCAAATCGACCAGGGGAGAAGCACAAAAGGCAAGGAAGGAGCGCTATCTAAATGCAGCTTCGCGGAGCTTCTTGCAAGTGCGAACCACTATAAAACATCCAACCGCGCGTCTGCGTTTGCGTCGATGTCGCGGCTGTTAGCCCTTCATGAGGCGGAAGATATTCAGGAACGCTCACGTTTCGATCCGTTTGCGGGTTTCATTTCTATACGAAATACCAATGATGGGGATAATGATAGCACGAACACTACAAGTAATCTGAGAATTACCGGTGCTCAGACCCACAAGGACCATACCCGCCTCCATGAGGTGACATCCCTGCAAAAGTTAAAGGCCTTTACCTCCGCGTTGGACGCGTTGACCGACACCGAGGAGGAGGTCCGACGTGCGGCCCTTAGCTGCCTGGGGGTTCTCCTCCGCCACCGGTGGCTTACCACTTCCTCCACTGGAGATCCTTCACAAGGAGGGAGTTCCCCTCCCGGCCCTGTCGTGGGGGCCGCGGAGATGGATCACCTCCGCGCCATCCTCCACACCATCCACGTGACCCTCACCCACGCCCTCCGGCCGGTTCGTCTTGCGGGAGTTCAGCTTTTGGCGTTGCTGTTGGAGCACGGGGAGCCCGCGGCGTTGCGTCAAGCCGCCCGGGAGGTCTCCCGGGCGCAGCGACTCGTCCGCCCGCACGAGCCTCAGGAAGACGCCTCCACAATGCCAAGAGAGGAGGGGGAAACCAATTCGGACGCCTTGGAGGTGGAGACGTGGATGCTGGCGCTGGTCCGCCGCGTTTCGGCGTTGGTGTTATCTACCCCACACATCCACGTTCTCGCACCGCTTCTCTCGGCTTTTCTCATGTCCTTTAGTGGGACTCAAACCGATTCCATGGATGGGGGGCTCCCTCTCGAATCAGTACCGAACGAGGAAGCGGACGACCATCTTGATTCCACAGAGGTTGCTTTCTCCGCTGGCGGGATGTTGTGCGCGACGCCCGATTGGTGCCATCCCGAGTTGGTGTTGGATCTCTTCAAGGAGCTCCTTCCACAATGGGCGAACGCGTGGAAAGAGTTGATGGAGATGCAGCTCGGGTTATTTCGACACGAGGAGAAGCTTTCCGCCGCGGTCGCGCTTGGCGCCTCCTTTGCCGTTGTGCTGACCTTCTTGAAGCAAAAAGAGTTGGAACGCCGGGATGGGGTGGCGGCACGAGGTGGGACCAACAACGACGTCGGGAAGATCTTTTTATCCAAGTTGGATCTTCAGACGGTGAAAAAGCTGTTTTTCCATAAGGTACCGGTCACCACTGCGGAGATCCTTCGAAGAGAGCACCGCGATCACGGCAGTGTGCAGTCGCGGTCACCACTTTCGAACCCATTTTCGTGCTCTGCTGGAGCCTCCGGACAGGCTCGATACAACCGAGTAGATTTTGCTCTTGTGCTCGCTCAAGTCAGCGCCCCGCTTGCGACCCTTGAGGAGGGCTGGAATAGCCTCTATCAGTACTTCCATACGGCCTTCACACCGGCCTCATCTTCGTCCTCTTCTGCCTTCCCTCGGAAGTCGGAAGTGCAGCTTTCCTCGCAGCATTTACTTTCTTCACTTGAGGCTTATCTTCTGACGCTACGTCTTTTTCCGAATCTCATCCACATCCCATCATCGTGTTTCATCCCAACAGAGGGTTTTGAGGATAACGAGATCGAAATCCCAGACGAGGAGGGGAAACATACAGACGACGCCCACCCGATCTCCACGGCCGGGCTATCCCACAAAGTCGTCAAACATCCAGTGCGACCTCGGAGATCCGCTGATCGGGTAACGGAAAAACTCCTCCCCTTCGCGCCGCTCCTCTTCCGGGCGGTTGTACAGCAGATTCAAGACCACCTACAAGCGGGGGGTGCACAGCGCCATCGGGCCCATCATTCCAAGCGTACCGTATCCGATGACAAAAAGGATGCCTTTGTGTTGAAGCTGTTGAACTACGTAACGGCTATTGTCGTGCGTCTGGCGCAGTTCCCTCTGCTATTGCCGAGCGGCGACGAGCACACAGACGTTGCGCGCCATCGGCGAGGGGAAAAAGCATTCAATAGCGAAGCAACACACGACCGACAGACCGGGAAAGGAGACTTTGTGGCTGCTCAAGCGTTGCATGATACGTTTCTACTCGTGCCTCGACTCCTTTTTGCGCTCCGCCCACGGGAGCGTGTGGAGGAAGCCAGCGAGGAGAATGAGCTCACCGAGGAGGACAAATCGGAACGGAATTTGGCGAATGCGCAGGCGAGTCGCGGCGATGCGGGGCCACGAACCGAGGGGGTTTTGACCAACTATCCTGCTGCTGTGGACAACGTTGTTTATCAGCTTCTTCGCGTCGTGTGGTTCATGATAAGCGCAGGGCATCCGCTTTTTTCAGAAGACGGTGGCGCTTCGGACACGTTTTCGAGGTTTCTCCCTACGATGAGAGCAGGGTTGCAGGCCCTCTTTGTAGTTCCAGATGGCTCCTCCGGCAGTACAGTCCATAAAGGGGTGCTGTCGAGATGCACTGAGCGGACGGTGGAGCTGGCGCAGCATATTTTATTCTACCTTAATGTCCGAGACATAGATAAGATGCAGTTGCTCACGACGAAAGAGACGGATGTGGATGGCGGAGGTTCTGATTCTGAAGAAAGGGAAAGGCATTCCCTGGACAATACCGCGCGGCGTCCTACGATGTCCACTATCGCAGGCATGGCGGATATCTTATTGATGCTGCCTCCAATACTATCAGAGGCATCCTAAATCGAAGCAGGGCAGACCCTTTTTTGTTGGGACGCGGAGGGCCTATATGAAATTAACTCATATATGTCAGTAGGGCTCCCCATCGCATGCTCTCGCCGCGCGCATGAAATCCTTGTAGGCGGTATGCACACTGACGAGAACAAGATATGAATATTCTCCTTGGCTCACGTGTTTCCTGTGGGAATTCTCCTTTTAATGTCTTCACTTCCCTTTGTCTTTCCTACGTTAGGGATTTTGTTGTGTAATAAAAAATCCGATTATGATAGTGGTAGTTTAAAACTATTACCTACTAGTAATCTATATATATATATATATATATATATCTTCCTAACGTAACCATCTACATC